AAACCTTTATCGTTTGAGGTGACATGGAAATGTGTTGTGTATGCAGTCCACCACCTACATGAAAGTGCAATGCTAGGGGATATTGTATTAAGGTTCAGGGTGACCAGATTTAGACATGGCACTAGTCAGTCTGAGTAGCATGGAGGTGTAAACTGTCTGACTGGGACTTCTGAAACAATAGGAATCAATGGTTGAGGACTCTTGATGTGGCTGAAAATCGATCACGATGGTGCAGATATATATTCATTCTTTGACATCTTCTACAGCTTGAACATTTGCATTGACCTTTATCTTCAAACTGGTCATTTTCTTATACACTTATCAATACTTCGTTGTCACTCTTTTCCCATTAATCTGTTCTTTGTACACTGCTGTGAAGTGTGGGAACTTGAACTGATGCATCTGTATATAAGGTTCTACGTTCGTTTTGTCTGTCTGTCAGACCATTTTAATGGATGTCTGATAAAACAAGCTTTAAATGTCTTCAGGTGTCAATCGATGACAGACATTTTTTATTTCATAAACTTGATGTTTTAGTGTGAGGATCTGATTCATCAGTTAGCTATCTATGACAATTCGGTTTGTCTGTGTATATGCGTCACTAAGAGATCATAGAACAGTTCAGCTGTTTCTGGATGGTTGTAAACGCCCGACAGTATTCCGTAGATGCAGATTGTGAGCTTAATATCTGCAAATCCGGTGGGACTAATAACATCTTAGATTTCAGAGATTGTATCAACCCAGGTTACAGTTTAAGAAGTTACCATTGAGTTACTGATAAACCTAGTCACCCGCAAAAAGTGAGTGGTATTTAAACCTACAAACTCAATTAGAAATAAGCTTGTAGGTTAAAAGATTCTATTAATCCAATTTGGTAGAATAATAATTTAGTTTACCAAATCCCTTGAAACAATTCGGAGGTCAAATACATACATAGGTTGAAGCAGTCTACCAGGACCAATTAGACTATTCACGTACAAAATTCCTAGCTAGGTCGAAATTGGTAGGTCCTAGTAAGAAAAGGGATTTAGAAAAAATCTGGATCATAGGAGTAGATGTAATTACACACAACAACACAATGGGACAGCTCAGGATGAAAATCCTTAGTACTAACATAGCAGAGTGAAGGGAGAGATTGATAAGTGAATCTTTGTTTACGATATACAAAAAGAATAACTTAGCAGCTATCCCGGATATATGGAAAGTCCTACTACCCATATCAAAAAGGAGGCGAGAATATTAGAATTATGTAAGCCATGTCTCAAAGTTGTGTAGTTATCTTGGTATGACTATGAACAATAAATCATATATGAAAAGCAATCCAATAAACCGTACTGTTCCACTGTTTGATAAATCTAATGAATATTGAATTACATTCTACTACAGTGCAGATGTCTTATATTTCCATGTCTCCAACCTTACTTTCGCTTTCATCAAGACACATCGGCCGACTGGTTTCCTGAAGACGTCATATCGTCTCTCCGATTCCCACAAGAAATAAGTTTGTTTTTATTTTTTCTTTGTGCTTTTAGGTTTCTTTAGCGATTGGACTGGTTTTACTGGGTAGGGTTGCTAGCCCTATGCCCAACCTTTCCTCTTTACCCAAGCTTAGGACCGGCTAGTAACTAGGCGAGGTTACTCCTACATTAATATAATTGAATTTGATGAAAATGTTTCATGAATTATTCATCTTTTTCCCGGCAATTGAATGTATTACTAATATGTGTTAGTACGGCCCGAGACCAATACTAGTCAGAAGAATGACACTTCATCGAGTATTCCTACGTTCGATTAATGAATTGTTGGATTCACAAGTCATGGTTTTTGATAAATAACAACGAGACAATGGATATTTGACCATTTCTTTCGTAGTTTATACATTCTATAAGATACATTCAACAACTTGTTGATGTTCATACAAGTATCAACAGTAGGCTTTATCAAACCCTCGTAGAATGCACAATATGAAAGAAGGATGAAATTTACAGTCATTTTCAAAGCCAAGTTCATTCACATCTTGACTTCACTTATGCTGGCATTTCTCCGTGTGTAAACCACTACAGTCTAACAATCGTGTGATGAAACGTTCAAAGATGAGGTCGTAGTTATTTAGGTTTGCTTCAGCATACATTATACTTTAAATATACTGTCCCTGAAGACTTGCTTGATTTCAAATATTTATATATAATCATCACACTACTATTAATTTGTGAGTAACTGTGAAATGCTTGCTAAAATACAGGTCAACATGATTCGCATATCATGTAGGCCAACTTCATCTCGTCTGTTGAATGTTGGAGAAGCCAAATATGAAGTGAAATGACACCTAAGTTCAATGGATAACATGCAGTCTTTGACCTGCAATGGTCAGCACTTGTTAGCGTGATGAAAGGAAACAACTGACATAAGTGTTAGTCTATTTTTCTGACATTTCGAGTGCTCTGTAGTTAGTGTTGAATGTTCAAAAGGTGTATGCGATAAGAAATTGTAACACATATCTAGAAACTGTAATGAAAGCATCCCATTTAATTTAGAATACCTTTGGGAGAGACACTCTACTCACCAATACCATTCTTATTTGACTCCACACTACCTACATTCGGAATTTTTCATTTCCAAAGTTACTGGTTAGAGATCTGGAAGATCTATTGGTATATATAGTAAAAATGCTAACAAATACTTGTATACTACCAGCGTTCAATGATAGTGTGTGAGTGTGAACATTCCACTTTGTAGGAGACTTAAGATGTGTTGTCCATCCAATTTCTCTTCATTTTCAAATCAGTTCATTTCATCTGAGCTAATTTCTAAAAGCTACCAGTTCTACACAAGGAAAAATAGTTTTGAAAGTTGTACTAAACACTTGCATATGCAGTAAACACCTGTGTAGGAAAGTCTAAACAGCGGATAGGTGTACTGCCTTTTTAATGTCTATAAATAACTAGCTTGGAACAAAACCAATGACTAGTCAAACTGTCCTAAGAAATGATGACCCTTACTCTAACGAAGTTCCTTCCACCAAAGAGACAAAGACGTGATCACCTAGATAAAAGGTGGTTAAGCACTTTGATCGAATCAATTTTAAAAACGTATGAATTGCAAAAAAACATAGCGAATACAGTGCTTTAAAGCATCTGATCCCTTTGATAAATTTAAACAGCGTAATGAGAAGACGAAGATTGTCTGAAACATGTGATGCATCAGCGCTATACATTTGGAACACATGCACTTCATTTAGCATTTCATGAACCTGGCGCTCAACTTCTTCCAAGTGACATGGTATCCGTCGTGTTATAAATGTCGTCTTTGTTTGACCTGTCAGAGGGATTTCATGCTGAACCTTGTCACAGTATCCGTACAGATCTCCATCTCCCGTGAACAACCTGTCATATTTCTTAACCAATTTCATGATGTTTTGCGCTTCTAGGTGTGGTAACTTTTGATTATTATTAATCCCTTGGGTTACTAATGAAACATAGGGCTTCAGTAACACATCTCCAATGCGCTCTGGTCTCTGCAATCTTTTCAACCTGGCTCCACGACAGCCTACAACCTCTCATTTCCTCCTCACACGATCTCCTCCATGTCACCCTCACCTCACACACCAAACTCGTCGCTTCCCATCTGGCTTCCACTCGACGAACTGGCCTGACGCGTGATGTCCCCATTCGGCCTTCTCAGTCGATCCCCAATCCATCTCCACTTCCTTCCAGTGCATATTTGTTCACCGATAGCTTCTTGGTTGGTTCGTTGCCCAGCCAGAGCTCCTTGTCGCTTATTCTTATTATTCTGGCCATCTGATCTTCAGTAACGAGCCAACGTAGGCAGTTGTTGATGAATATCTGTAATTTGTTGGAAATCCCTTTCGTAACGCACCAAGTCTCTCAACCATACAGGAGCACTGACTTGACTGACGTTGGTGTTGACAATCCGGATCTTGTTCCACGTGCTGAGTGCAGAAGATCTCCACACTGGTTTCAGGTTAATGAACTCCTGTCATGCTTTTCCGATGCTGGGTTGGACATCCTCATCTGTGCCACCTGTGGTTGAGATGATGCTGCCTTGCCTAGGTAGGTGAAAGAGGCTACTTCCTTCAGGTTTCTCTCGTTGATGGTGATTGATGTTTGTTGTTGTTGTTGGGTATCTTCATCACCTCTGTCTTCTCCACGTTCACTTGAAGTCCCGTCCTCCTTAGCTGCCCTGCCTCGCCTCTTCTGTCAACTTGTTAGTTTTCGCCTGTACATCTTCAAGTTTGTGTGACATCAGACATAAGTCATCGTTGGTGAAATCCAAGTCTTCTAGGTTCTTTTCCGCAGTCCAGCCAGCGTATCCCCCTCCTCTGGCTCGCTCCCCACTGTTTGTTGCATGATCCAGTCCTGGCCGGTTGACCACAATCAGGAATATCATGGGGGATAGTAGGCAACCTTGTTTCACTCCCCTCTTCACTTCAAAAGCATAACTGAGCTTCCCATTGTGAATTACTTGGCAGGTGGTATCTTCATATAGTTGTTGAATGAGGTTGACAAAGGTTTGTGGTACTCTGTAGTGTTAAAGCAGTTACCAAATTACTTCTCGGTCGACGCTGTCAATCTCAGCTACCTCGCTATTTTCCTGCGTAGTGAACGAACCGAACCTTGTTGCCACTATCCTTGTTCTTGTGTTAATAACTGCATCCACTTCTCTCAAAAAATCAGCACCAAGGATTATAAGTTGTAGACACGTGGTCACAATGAATGGAAATTTAATTTTCCCGCTCCTGATCTCGACGAAATAATTTGATAAGCCTGCGACCTTTGGTGCATGTCCACCAACCATGTGGACCATTAGCGCACATGGTTTTTCGTTCTGAGACTGATTCTTATCTTACAGCGAGACTGCCGACTCCATATCTATTAGACACACGATCTCCCAATCATTTATTCGCATTCTAGCATACCAGCACCTCTACCTATGGCTCCTACAACATCTAGTTTAGTCAAAAAGATAGAACTCATATTATATCGTTCAAAACTTTTTCTTTTTCATCTCCAGACAGCTTCTTCGTTAGTGTCCCAGTTTTCCGCATGTAAAGCATTCACTCGAAGTGCAGCCACCTCCTCCTGAAGGTTGTCGATTTGTTTTGCCAGTTATTTACCTCTGGAGACTCCACCGCAGCTACTGCTCTACCCATTAATATCCATGGATTGGGCTGCGTTCACTAGTAGTAGCTGCTGGGCGAAGGGATTCGGGACACTTCAGGTGAATTGTGCAGTCAGCAACTGCTCCTGGGAGTTCTCATCCAAAGTGGGAATTGCTCGTTGAAGTAGTTTAGTCAACTTCACAGCCAATACCAGCGGATCCTCGTCTATTCTAAGTTTCGTGGTCCGGAACTGCCGCATCGCCAGCTCCCTGTTCGCTGGGTTGTCAAAATCCGCCTCCAGACGTTCAACCATTCTCTGCCAAGTCTCCTTTCTATTCCTACGTTCTACGCCGTCATATGATGCTTTCGCTCTACCCACCAGCAATGTGCCAAGTACCACAACCTTCGCTCCTGGATCCCAGACACCCACCAGCTCCGCGACCGACTTGAAGTCCCTGAGGAAGATCTTGACGTCTTCATCCTCGAACACTGCAGGCCAAGGAGTCATCATGTTCAGAAGCAGCGACATCAACTGAAGGAAACGAGAGGACAGAGATGTAGGAGGGAATGTTCACTATTAACATTTGGAACAGTAGTCGCTAAATATGGTACACCTTCCACCAAGACAGTCATTTGCAAAATGTGTTTCATTTCTTCTTTTGTTTCTCCCTTGATACGCCGCGTTCTCCCTGGGCAGAATCCTTACCCATTGCTGGTAGTTGCCTATGATTCCTGCCACCCTCTCAACACATACTACTTATATCCATTCTTATCATCAACACCCACTTGGATAAATTCGCTAATATAATCCCGGCGTAGTACATTAGAACAAATAATTTGTATTATTCCTCATCGTTTCGATCTTACTAGGAAGACCCATTACTAGATTATGAATCTGCTTGGATACATTCTCACGTAAACTGCGAAAAGGATTTTCGTGAGCATAAAAGTTTTTGAATCACATAAATAAATCGTTAAAATTGCTGCCAACACTTCTATTCTCGACCGTAGAGTGATAAAAATCAGCTCGCTGTGGAGAATTCACTTTCACTCAAAGGCATATCTTCCCTTCATAACGTTCACGAATGACATCAGCCGACAGAAAGACGATATCCCACTTTGAATTTATCCTACTAAATGAACAGTATTCGAAACACAAGATGAAAAAGAGACCAATCGAATCATGAATGTTCAGTTTTTCTGAGATGCAGTGTGAACACGCTCCGCAAAATATTGCAACAATAGCCGCTGTGTTAGAGTAGATATGATTATCGCAGTTGGGATTAAATGAATTGGCGGTTAGTTGGAATGGGATTTTTCTGGGTAGTTTTCATTGGGGAGTAAGCGAAGTCATTTGAATAGCTGAAAACTTGGTAACAATTGATAGGTGCTTGATGTATTTTGAGAACGCCTCAGCAGTGCACAACTACGACTGCGCTAGTGATCGATATTTTACTGCGATATGGCCATAATCATTGAGGTCTTCGACTCTTCAGAGATGATCAAACTGCCCAATATTCAAGATGGTAGGAGACATTTGGCGTTACAGCTCACGATCTGTGATGGATGACTACTTTAGTGACCTTTTTTCGCTCATCTTCCCTTTCAGATACATTTGTCTTCGAAAATATTCTTTTCTATCTAGTTCTTTGATGAATGCTGTTGTCAATTTCGCGTAAATAAATCGCTGCACTTACGTGTAAGGCTGTATGTTGTCTGGTTTATCTGTTGTCCACACAGTGACAATTGATGTTCTCTTGAAATGCCTGCGAAGACGAAAGTCGAGTTAAATGACTGTGGAGCACGATGGATGTCTGTTTCTGGCTTATCCTCGTTTAAATCCTCATCGTTGCACAACTACGTCCATACTTACTCAGAGAAACATTTTGCTATTTCATTAGAAACCAAAGGACCAGGCAAAATGAGCAATCGTGAGTACCAACCTTCTAAATCCATCCATTTATTCACCAACATTTTTCTATACACAGTACAAGATTCAAATAAAACCTTAGAGAAGAAACATACTGAAGGAGAGCAAACAATGACTGAAGATGTACAAAACATTCAGGTATACACATACAAAATACTATTGAATATATACGGAACAATATCTCTAGAAAGACAACTGAAGGGATTAGGTTGCTGCTGTAATAACGATTAGCCTGGACATGTACGCCACGCCTAGGACTGCTACTGTCTCTTTGATACTCACATAAGTTACCATGATAATCACAACAGCCGCAATATAGGAAGTAGAAAGAGAAAATTCAAAATACCTCAGAACACCCTTCAGATTACATGATGAGCAATAGAAAATACACTATTTGTTGAACATGTGGAAAAAAAAAATCAAAATGTACGTGTTTTTGGTCAAGAAAATATGAAACATTTGCATGAAAAATAATGTACACATGAATATCTATGGATAAATATTAACAATAAAACTCAGTTAAATTTTGATCTATAAAACAATGCAAAAAGCACGTATACAAAAAAAGAAGAAGGAAAAGACAAAGTAGGATTCAAGTAAACTGATTACAATGTGTCCAGATGTCTGTACAAACAAGTCGACTAACACAACTGATGATTATCGTGCAGCAGTTGGCGTTCGTTGACTTGTAGTCGATTGTTCTGCACACAGCTGGATCATAGAGCCTAAATCGAACAAACCATATGGTGGGAGGAGATTTAGGTCACCAGTCAATCGACGCACAGTATTACGTCCAAGTCCAATGTCAATCAAAAGATGAGTCAGTGTAGTCAATGTTGCTGTCGTTGTGCTGGGTGTTATTTCAGCTGGGATGGACGAAGATGATGATGATTGTGATGACACTGAGTGACATTGAGGTGTCAGTACAGGTAAGCCTAATTCAATCAACCAAACAAATCGTTGAGCATTCCTTAACAGAATATTCGAGTCAACAATGGATTGAGATGGTGTCAGGTGAATGATGCCACCAATTGAATTGTGATTCCGTAACCAATTGATTAATAAGTTTGAATTCGCTTCATATTCAGCATTACTGTCTGAATGACCAATTATTACCAGGTCGATTCGTATACCACTCGGTAATTTAGTAATTGCTGGAAAAGAAACAAATTTTCAGGGACCAAATAATAAGAAATCCATAGTAATTTATGAAGTTATACAAATTTATACACAGATCATTGACTATCAGGATTACCTGTACTCAACTGTAAACTGGAACTACAACTCGACTGTTATTTGAGCATTGATAATTTGCCCAAGAACTGACATTCGAATGAGTTCATACGCATCAATCATAATTTCGATATGCATCAATTTTTTGGACCAATCAAGTCAATCAATCACAGTCAACAAAGGTATTTGAGTTACTATCTACGGTTTGAACTGTCACATCTCAAAGTATAACAAGATCAAAGCAAGATAAAGGGATACGATGTGATTTAGGCCTTCAAACAAAGACGGAATAAAGCAAACAGTGAGAAGTGAAATTATAATAAAGACAAGGTATGGAGGGATATGAGTAATAGAGGTAGGTTGAGAGTAGTATTATTCCCAATCGCCGGTCCACTCTATCACAAAAACCCAACCGGGGAGTCTATAACCCCCTTCACAAAACAGATCACCAATCCCAGGCTTTAGCTGCTTTATGATGGGTTCATATCACGTCCCAATTTGATCACGATAGGCTTTCGAACTGGATTCTATTCTCGTAAATACAACTTGTTGTAGTCTATTTGATGGCTAGAAGCGGAATCCAGGACATGCATGTCGTCCCATTTCGGAATGGAGACTCGAACCCATTAACCATCATTTCAAACGCCAAGGCGTTGTCCACTGGGCTACTCGGGCTCAACAGACACCACCTGTGCAACGCGTACCAGTTATTGTTTATTATCACTTGTAATAAACAACAACTTGTTGTAGTTGATGGTAGTGAGTTCACAAGCTCTACACAAGGTCAAGGACCCCCTGATAATAAAGACTTACAACTACATAAACTGATTTCCCTCTTTCACCTAAGACTCTATGTCTAACTTCTACTCTGTTTATGCGTTGAGTGTGCTATATGCTGGAGATGCAACAATGTCCATCGACAGTCATATTTTACAGAGTGCAACAGACCAATACACACTATAACCTCAATAACAGTGGTCGAATACATAACATGAATGCGTCTCAGTTACATATTTGTCGCTGTTGATCACACCACAATACACACTGGTTCGTAGGTATTAAGAATTTCATTCCAAGTAGCAAAAACCATCGTCAGGCCAAAACTTTTGATCATAAGTATAACAAAATCGAACTGGTCATAGATAGATACACAACCTCAAATTCGTATCATTCAGAGATACAGATTTCTAGCTCAGACCTGAAGTTAGTGCTGATAACATTGTCTGCAACGACAATGAGAGCTTCACGATTAAATCAGTCAGCTCAGCAAACGCAACACAATCAGGATCATTAACATCAGCAACAAATATTTTTCACCATTTCAAGATCAAACTACCATAACACATTTCTTGTTGTTCGAAGATTAGTAGCTCAGGATGAAAAAGGTGAATTGTATAGCAATCACCCAGTTCCAGTATTTCCTCATTATATCAATTTTAGTAACTTCACCACAGCAAAACTCTGAAAGAACTAGCCACATTTATTTCTTAGTTACATCACCATGACGGAAGTGCTACAATTTTGTTATCATCGGATTTAAACTAATAAGCAGATTAGAGGATATGGACATAAATAAATCAGTGTGAGACCTCACACAGAAGTTCATCGAGATATCGACAACAATATGATGATAATACTGCAAAGGGGTCTCCGTCATATGAGACAAAGTTAGCACTTTAAGATAATACAAAATACACATGACTTTACAATCATAATCAGGTTGGAAGAAAATCGCGTTGCTGGAGCGGTAATTGTAATTCACACAACACCACCACAACACTTTCATGATATTGCATATTCAAACGAAAAATCAGCTCAAGATGGACTTTATCCCATATGGAGTTAATTGTGGAGTTGTGGCTGATTGGTTTGGAGAGATAACTTTCAGCTGACCGGTCACGAGTTCCAAGGCTACCCACTACATCTACTGAGGTTTGGGCATCCAGGTAGTAAGTATCATCAACTCCCAAACACCAGATGTGGATCATTGCCTACCACATGAATGTGAACCAGGTAGCTGAGTGGGTTTCTATTCGACTCGATGGTGGTAATTCCCTTTCTAAAGCATAAAACGGACGTTGAAGTTGAGATTCAATCTCACCGACTGATAAAAATTGCAAAAGATTTCGGTTACCCCGTCCATTTTTCAATCAATGAACATAGGAATATTCAATGAAGTGCATATCAGTGACCAAGTACATTTTGCACAATAACACTACAAGCTAGATCGACTTGTCTGGGGGTGAATGATAACACTTGATTACCGAAACCACCTAAGATAGAGGGTTTTTTGACTTATTCTGCTAACCACTAACTAAACTCTCTCAACAATCAAGTGCATGAGCATGCATCAGGCAGTGAGCCGCAACTATTGTGTGAGGGAACTACCTAACTGTTCAAACTTCGGTTAGGCTTGAACACAAGCTAGTTGCACGCCACCTATCTAGACCAATGAGGTAAAGCTCCAAGCTAATTAAGTTGGTTGTTGTTGACTTCAATTGTGGAGGCCATCGTCCCCAGGATAATAATACAAATAATCGATGGGCACCACAGACAGCATATGGCTCGTTATCGACGATGACGACAACAGTAACACTAATATCTATTACTGATACTTGTGTAATAGAAGTACTCAGTATTCATCAATTTATAAGTATTAGAAGCGTCATTACTCAAGTTGCAGTCAATTTACTCCAACCCATAATTTGCATGTTACTACTTAATTCATGTAACTTCCTTCAGATACACAACCCAGTGAGATGTGAAAACTTGGACTGGTGAACTACTGTGTCCAGTAATGCCTTTACAATATCCATAATATGTACAAGAGTGTGCGTCTAGTTCATGAAATCGGTGGTTTGAACACTGTTAGATGTACTGGGTATCATCGATGAGTGGGTTTGGAGGTAGGTCAAAAAGAGTAATCTTCCTAACCCTAGTAAATATATGATATACAAACTAGCAAACGAATTTACACTTTGAAGTTGTCATAGCAACTGTATCACAGTTGATCAGTATTATTTTAATTCCTAAACAATTTCTTACATCTAACAACCAATTAAAGTGCATCTCATTGTTGCATAGTGACTACATAGCAAAGTCGATGGGAAAACTTCGATAGGTGGTCAATACAATATTTAAGAATTGAAAACTACATGGGTTACTTATCCAGTGATCCAATTTCATGTAAATCGGACGATGACACAGTTTAGCTGTTCGGTGCAAGAAATTGTTCTAGAATAAGAGTTACACATAATGTGTGCAGCGGAGTCAATGCTACTACCCGTTTGCTCAGGTCAAAGTAAGTTAAATGATTAAGTTAATGGTGTCAAACCTTTCAGACATCAATACAGTTGAAAAGTATGTCGAAAAACATTTTCAGACACATCAACACACTACATTCAAGAACTTACAACTTGGACGACGTATAATCTTCAAACCAGGCATACGGCTCATCCACATTCGACCAACACAACTGTAATCAACAATACTGAATTGCAAGGCATGTGCTGAATCAGAATAACTAAAGCAACAACTCATACTATCAAAATCGGCATCATTCTGCTCACTGAAACCACTAGCATCTACATGCACATTGCTAATGTTATTTGCCAATGAGTGTTGAACAGAACTGCCACTGCTGTTAGCAGCAATAAAACTTCCAGGAAGTTGTTTATCGCTGCCATGATTATCTTCATCATCTGTTTGATATTCTTCATCATAATTGTCTGATTCATCTTCATCATCTAGTCCATACTGATTTGGTTTAGGTGCCAAGTGTTTGAGCAAATTTAATTCATGTCTGTACACACTGGACATTAAATCACTGTTAACAGGAAACTCATCATCACCTTCATCATTGCCTGTCGGACTATTATTCTTAGATAAAGTAGAAGCATACAAAAGAACACATGAACCAAGTGAAGACAGTTGTCTGGCAACACTCAAGGATATTGTTGCACCCAAGTGACTGGATCCATTTGGTATGATCAGTATACGAGCTGGAGGTCTGTGAATAACTCTGTTAGATAAGCGAGGTGGAAAAGAATATATAAAGCAGGTTATTAATATAAGCAGTACACATATTTCATAATGTTTCAGTTTAATGGATAGGAAGATTGGGAATTTTAATTAGCTCCCAAAATGCTTGAATCATACTTTTCTTCGTGACATACGATGGCACGGTGACTGAGAAATGTTTAAGTTTTATAAAAAGATTATTCGCTCAAGAGATTTGTGGACTCAGACAGATTGAGTTCATTCCTTAATCTGTTACAAAAACCCAGCTGTCACCTTCTCCAACGTTTGGTGTCGATTAGAATATAAGAGTAGGCTAGAAAAAAGCATCACAGAAGTCATCCGCGAGGTTAACTGACTAGTGATATAAACTATGGAAGAACCTGAAATTCTCCAAACTCGATACAAATTAGTCCTCATGAAGCAAATATAACAGACCAAAGTCAATATAACATAGATGTACTAACCTTTATCCTCATCCCAGAAAAAGGTACATTGAAGTTTTTCTGTAAATGTTTATTTTCAATTAAATCCTGGTTTTCTTTAAGCATCCGCAACCTGCTTCACCAACTTCAACCTTAGCAACCCGAATGGTATTATAAAGCCTCAAGACAATAAGTAAAGGTGTTTCCTATGGATGAACAGCAGTACGAAGCTAACGCTGCCTTCCTTATGGGAAGGAAAGATTAGAAAATGTGGGGCCAAAACACCACACTTTTCCTGAACCTGCAGTATTTCGGTGTCGATAAAAAAGGCTCTTTCTCATCCGGCGTTAGCGTAATCAAAACCCAGTCTAAAACTCTTAAAAGCAACATGCCTCAAAATAAATGTGCCAAGGGCTCTGCCGTTACAAAAAAAGGATCCAGTTTGTTGTTGAGATACCCTGCAGAAACAACTTCCATGTTGTGGGCAACCGTGAAGTATCGGCCACCTGGACGCTTCTAATTTATTTTTGTCCCTTGGGTTTCTAGAGGAACATAGGGTCTTAGTGGCAGTCACCATTGCACTCTGTCCTCTGCAGTCTTTTGAACCTGGCTCCACGACTGCCCACAAGCTTTCACTTATTCTTCACACGATCTCCTCCAAGTCAACCTCGTCTCGGACGTCCAACTCGTCATTTTCCCGCTGGGTTCCTTTTGAGGACTTGGTGCATGATGTCCACAATCGGTCTTCTCAGTGTATGTCTAATCTAATCCATCTCCACTCTCTTCTGCATATTTGTTGGGCGATGGATTCTCGGTTGGTTCGTTCGTTGCCAGCTAGCTAGCTAGCCAGCCAGAGTTCCTTCTTCCTTTCTCTTACTAACTATTCACGCCATATATCCGATCTTCAGCATCGAGTGAGTGTAGGTGGCAGCTGTTGATATATGTATGTTTGCAGTTTGTTGGAAATGCTTTTCCTAACGTGTCAAGTCTCTCAACCATCACATAGAATCACTGACTTGACTGACTTAGTGTTGGAAATCCGGGTGTTGTTCATGCTGCATACTGAGTGCAGTAGATCTATACACTGATTTCAGGTTAATGAAGCCCTGTCTTGCTTTTCCGATGCTGGGTTGGACATCCTCATCTGTGCCACCTGTGGTTGAGATGATGCTGCCTTGCCTAGGTAGGTGAAAGAGGCTACTTCCTTCAGGTTTCTCTCGTTGATGGTGATTGATGTTTGTTGTTGTTGGTTGGGTATCTTCATCACCTCTGTCTTCTCCACGTTCACTTGAAGTCCCGTCTTCCTTAGCTGCCCTGCCTCTTCTGCCAGCTTGTTAGTTTTCGCCTGTAGATCTTCAAGTTTGTGTGACATCAGACACAAGTCATCACTGGCGAAATCCAAATCTTCTGGGGTCTTTTCATCGGTCGGTCCGTCCAGCGTATGCCCATCTTCTCACTCCTCACAGTTTGTTGCAAGATCCAGTCCAGTCGACCACAATCAGAAAGATAATCGGTGATAGTAGGGAGCCTTGCCTTACTCTTGTTTTCACTTCCAAGGCATCACTGAGCTTTTCACTGTGAATCACTTGGCATGTGGTATCGTCATTTAGTTGTTGAATGAGGTTGACAAAGGCTGGTGGTACTCTGTAGTGTTAAAGCACTTTCCAAGTTTGAAGTTTCTTTAGCGACTGAATTGGTTTTACGGGGTAGGGTTGCTAACCTATGCCCAACCTACCCTCTGTATCCGGTATACAAGAACCAAGTTCGACTATTAGCCTGACTATTGCGGTTATTCCTTAAAATTTACCTCACGAGTGTCCGAAGACTCGATGGCTTGGACTTGGTGTCGTAAGCATAGCATTAAGTTGCGAAACAGAAAGCGTACTCCTCGACTAGATACCTGTCAGCAGCCGTCTGTGTGCTGAATGGATCTGTGAGAGCTAGGAAGCATCGTGAGACCAGCCGATACTTGCTCGTAATATTCATCTGCGCGCTTACCGATTGCAGTTCAGATTATACAAAAGATGAATTGTATCAAAAGCTACGAATTTTGCTGCATAACGCAAAACGTTCAGATATATGGACAGTAGTAAGCGACTTTCACCTTCAAGTAGGGGAGTCGAAGCAGTCAGAAAGACATGTATTGTATGTCATGACAACGAATTGACAACCATAATCCTCTCGTACAATTTTGTTTCGACAGTCACTTATTTCTGGCCAGCACTAACTTAAAGTACAGGGAAAGACACTGTCTCACTTGGTGTTCATCGAAATCCAACCAACGATGATGAACACATAGATTATATTACTATAAGTCATCGTTGGAGAGGGTCAGTGGTGGATTGTCGCTCTTTTTAGAGTACTCGTTTGGAAACCAATCACGCGTTAGTATGGGTGTGAATGTTTATCTTACTGGCCGTAGGAGAGAGGAAACAGTGAACCATAAGCCCAACAGTAAGATGATAACGGCATATGAGCATTTGAAGAGATCGTTAAGCACTTCTACAAGCAGGAGAGGTGTCATATTAAGCCTGCTGTAGAAACAGCGGTAAGAAAGGTTAGTAAAAGCTAGTGGGATTTCCGTGACCTCAGCCAGACTAATTGATGCGATAGGACTTATTCCAGCTAGGTCTGCTTACAATAAGAAACGAAAGCAAATTCAATGCAGAATGGCCAAGAATCTTCTCAATCACCACGAGCAGTGGTTGGTGGCGAAAGCAAGACAGGTGCAGAAGGTATCAGTAATGGATTTTACTCGATAATTATTTAAGCTTATCAAGGATATTGTCAAAAAGACGGTTAGTTGCAGCGTTATTGAAAAGGGTCGGACTCTCAGGACAAACAACTACGTTAGTTGGGAAGTTTTGAAGTACAGTTCAACTGGCCTGTAGCAACGCTTGAGTTGCCCAGCATCCGGCCTGAACCTGAATAGGACGTAGGTGTCGGTCCTCCAAATCTCCTTGAAATTAAGGCTGTACCGAACCTGAAACGATGCAAAGCAGCAGAAATTGACGGCTTGCCACTAGGTATTGGGGATGGAGGTGGGAAATTACTGATAACAGTGACGAAGTTAATAGGTAGTGAATAGAGATCAGAGGTAGTCCTATTGTACTGATCTTCTTCGCCGATCATTTCAGTCTGTAAGAAAGGAGAGAAGTCTTCTTATGACTACCACTGAGGAATTATTTTGATGAATATCGTGTCCAAGACCTTAGGGTCCATAGTCGTCCGACGTCTAACTGGAGCTTGAGAAAACCGAGCAGTTTTCAGACAGAGCTGGATGAGGGTGGATAGATTAGAATTTTACCGTGGGACAGACAATGGAACAAAGGTATACTCCCTGGTGGCCGATATCTGCCATATTTCTTCACCTGCAGGTAGCACTTGACTCCGTCGACTCCGAGATATTGTGGTAGCGCATGATTGTGAAGGGACTACCGAAAATGTAGCGCTAGTCAAAGCTCTCTAGTCAAACTCACACAAACGTTTAAGGGTTTATGAAGAGTTGTCATCAGAATTGATGACAACTAGTGGTGTCCGCCAAGGATATCGACTGTCATCGTTCCTGTTTAACTTCACAGATATACTAATGGACATAACTTTAGGTACGTCTGACTTCACAGGGATTGATCTACTCCGTGGAGATTATTAGGTTGACTTGGAGTATGCAGACGATATTGTCCTGTTGGAGGGAAGATGCTGACAAAATGCAGGGTCTTCTGGATGCGTTGAGAAGAAATCTGAGTATATTATCCATGAACTTCATACCTGTCGAACGTAAGATGATTCTCTACGACTGGTCTGCTGCAAGTAGTTCCAGTCTAATGATAGGGAGTGAAGTGGTGGAATGTGTCGACCACTCCACACCAGGCCGAATGGGCTAGTTGGTGATGAAATCTCAGTTCGTATACAGAAGGCCCATTTGGCATTTGTCAGCCTTTGTTATCTGTGGCGTTGACTAGCGAGATACCCGACTAACTATTAAAGGACGAAAATACTGCGCTGCAGTTGGTTTCGTCGTGTTATGCGACTGTGAGACGCGGCCGTTAAACGTAGACGGCAAGAAGCGACTACTGGCTTTTGATCGCAGATGTCTTCGTAGCATTGCTTGCATGCGGCGGAATCACTGTGAGCAATGTTGAGGTGAAGCGACGAGTACTTAGGTAAGAGAGGCAAGTCAATTGATGAGGTTGCGAACCTTAGTCGACTAAGATATCTTAAACATGTACTGCGCGTGCCGAGCTACCACCTACCTTGGTGTTTCATGATGTGTGAAGTTGGATTAGGTTGGAAGAGTGTTGAGGGTGGCCAGACGAAGACGTGGCGCCGGTCGGCGAAGTCCATGACTGTTGGTCTGAGTCGTGTGGGGAGATGAAGACCGCATGGTTGGGGTCCCCGAGACGGTATGAATCAGGGGTAGAGGACTCCTGTTGATATGATTGAAAATTTGACACAATGGCGCAGATATATTCACTCTTTAGCATCTTCCAAAGTTTGAATATTCGCAACAACCATTATCTTCAGAATGTTTATTCTCTTACTCTACTAGATCTACTTTGGTATCACTCGTTCGTTCTGTCCTGTTATACGGCTGAGACAGAAACTAAAAGTAGAAGATATGAAACGCCTACATGTTTTGACCATAGGTGTCTTTGTAGTATTGCTTGCGTATGATGGAATTACCATGTGAGCAGTGTCGAGGTCGGATGAAGGGTACTAGGCAAGACAGGAAAGTCGGTCGATGTGGCTATGAACTTATACTGAATGAAATCGCATCGATATGTTTTGCGCATGCTGATCTGCTACCCACATCGACGTGCGATGTTAGTCGGAGCAGTAGTTGGTTGGAAGAAGGTTCAAGATGGCCAGATCAAGATGTACTTCGACTTGAGACAAAGAAAAAGAATCATGAACGCCTCAATTGCATTTTTTGCCAGTTCTTGAGAGATAATGTTACTACAACTAAGAAATGTGCTAATTACACAACAGGGTTCGGCAAGTATAAATATGCAGTATTCATTATTGCTGCTATTCGATAATAATAATGATAACAAATGAATAAATATGATTTGACTATCCGAGATAGCCGTAGTTTGGCAGACTAGTATTTGTACTGGGTCATGATTGAAGGTGAGATGAAAATCTGTACTGGGGCCGGATTCGAACCAGCGACCACCAAGGGTGACTCAAGTGAAATAACCCGGTGGTCGCTGGTTCGAATCCGGCCCCAGTACAGATTTTCATCTCACCTTCAATCATGACCCAGTACAAATACTGGTCTGCCAAACTACGGCTATCTCAGATAGTCAAATCATAATCAATATGATGCTCCCCTCTCGGATTCAGTTAGATTTAGACCGGGATGAGAAGTCCTGACCAGGCAGCCAGTGTGAGTACGATCAAGCGGTAGTAACGCATCATGAATTCACATGGTAGTCGGGCAAAACCCTTGGTGATTGAGTGAAATAAAATTTTGGTCAGACCCCGTAGCTTAGTTGGTAGAGCATCGGGCTGGTCGCTGGTTCGAATCCGGCCGCGGTCCAGATTTTCATTTCACCTTCAATTTCCATCCAGTACGAATAAATAAGTAATAGTGGAAATAATAGCAGCTTACCGCTGAGGTGTTTTATTTGACTGGCGTAGACACATCATAATATTATCAACCAAAGGACGACTGGCAGATTCTATCAATCGACCCCATGTAAGACCGGGAAAACCAGCTGTATTCACACTGTTTGATATCAATGTACTTTTTGCCTGAGTATCTAAATCTATTCCTGTAGCTAAATAGTGAATAAGACGTTGTCGTTGCTCTAATTGACATATTGGAACACGTTGACCTATACAGGTATACCACCAATAGGAGACACGTTTCGCAGGATTTGTTCGAGATTGCACATAGGCAGTGTGATCAGAATCGTCATCCAGTGAATTCTTATCTTTAGCCTGAACTTTGTTGGTGTGATTAGAATCCTTAGGTTGGGCTTGTGATTCGTAACACGAAGTTGTTCGCGTATTCGATTTGTTTCTCTCTTCAAGATGATCTGCATTGGCTGCGATTGTACTCGTTGATCTAGATGTTACTGCTGTGGTTGTTGTTTTTGTGGCTGATAGAGCTGTTGAATGGAAAGGTCGAGTTGGAATACCTAGACAATTTTTAGAACATTAAAAAATATGTGTAACTCGATTACAAAATAACAGGGGGAACGATACCATTATTTTAAGGGATGACAAAGACTGATGTTGAAACTAATTATGAACCAAGAGCATTTAAATTACTGGCTCTATGAGGAAAATGCATATCCATTTGAAGTTGAAATAAGCGAACAAAAAGCTCATAACTCAACCGCTATAACTCCAGTTATCATCATCACGTAGACAGTAAATGTAGAAGAAAGCTATTCTAGATATTAAGTTATAAGAACTGAAGGCACTTAGACAATCACTCGTTTCTCAACCGGGAGTAGACAACTAGAAATCCTTCCCCACCTACTAAAGTTCGTGAATCCATGTGATATCACTACCATTTACATTCAAAGGTGTAGCTTCTCATAGTCGACTGAGAGAAGGTTGTGCATAGTTGCAGTATAGATTCATAATTTTACGGGTATTACAAAGTATTCGTTTTATTTCCTATATTAGATTAATTTATTTGATATGACACACAGTAATGCAGTGTTATTGACCTGGATGATATTTTCAGCACAACTTATGATTCAAATTAAAATGGTCACAAAAATTATTGACTTAGCTTTTTTAGCTCTACTGCTTTTCTTTCTTGGTTTTCTTGTTGTAGAGAGTTCGAATAAGATTATCGCTCATCCCGCAGCACCTGCTTGAAAAGTGATCAAGCGTTGGTTCATAAACGTCTGTGTCTGCACCCAAATTGATGTAGGAGACCATAAGTACAAGACCTTTACGAGCTCACTTCAACGATTATTTTCAAAGAGACTCATTACACAGCGATCGGAAAATGATGATAATACTTATCCTAAACAAATCTCGCGCTATCTTGAGTTGCCATAAAAAGAGCGGCAAAGCCATAAGAGATCTTAACAAAAAGGTTAGAAAGGTTCAGTGGGTCTTAGAAGTTTCATTTGAATCAATGAACGCAAATAAACACACTTCTGCAGGCTCCCTGAATGGTAGGTGGAGGCAGCTTAAATGTAGACTGACAAAACGTTTACGCAATGACCATGAGCAGTGATGGGTGGAGATAGGAAAGATAGCAGCGACAGAAATAGTAGAAAGTTGTTTAGATTTATCAAGGAATGATGAGAACATTTCGAGGATGATTTCAACTGGCCTCTATAGCTAATCTTTGGTCACCAACTTCCAGTGACAACCTAAATGGAACACTGAGATGAGATCGCCAGCGCTTACTGGAGCTGAAAAAACTGTGACCTGAAATGGAGGACAGCATAACCCCGTGGATATACAGTAGGGGTATTTCCAGACCATGATCTGGGTTTAATGATTAGACTGACTGAATTGTTAGCCAGTGTATGAAAACTAGATATGAACTGTTTCTGCCTAGTCTCAGTCGCTGGTTGTCCCAATCTTAAAGGACGAGGAAAAAAACCTCGTGATAACTATAGAGGAACTAGCCCAAGATTTTACGTTCTCTAAACATTCGACGATTAAGTGAAGTTCGGGAACAACAAACTTGAGGAAAGCAGGTAGGTTTCAAATCTGATGCTAGATGAAACAATCGGATCCTCAACCTCAACTAGATCTTTGAAAACAGACTCACTTACCAGCATCAGACTTTAGCTTTATTTCTTGACCTGGGGTTCGTCTATCAAGCGGTATTATGGGAGTCTGCCACCCTACTAAAACTATATGGTTTCGAGAACCTGAGGATGTGCTAGAGCCTACGGTGAGCGTTAGGAGGTCCCAAATTTGCATAAAGCATTATTTATTTATACATTTTCAAGTCACCGTTTTCCTGCCCTTTTTACGCAATGATCAGTGGTTTATCCCTTCCCTCTTTTTCAAGGGGATTTGTTAGTCGGTTAACACTCGCTTTGACCATATCAATGTTTTACATTCTGCACAAGGTCTTTCCAGAGGTAATAAATTCTCCCATCCAGAGAGTCTTCTTTCTCTTCTTTTTGCATGCGGTTTGGCGTACGAATTAGCTGATAGCTGGGAGCTAGCGTACTATATAACATTCAGGAAAGTAAAATTGAGATACTAGGTGAATTGTGAACGTCAACTGGTGTCCAATAATGTTGCAAACAGTGCCCATTCCTACATAATTTTGTCATCGACATGCTTATGGAGGTCTTCCTTTTCTCACCTGACTTAAGCGAAATCGAACTGCTTACAGGAGACTCCTTAGTAGACGTAGAGTACATGGATAACATGGTTCTGTTAGGTGATGATACTAACAAGACAGTCTTCTTGATACAGTCAGTGACAAATTGAAGATATTTAGGAGGCGCGCTCCCCATCACCTAAGTGCAAATTATTGCTTTAAAACTGATTTATGTTGGTACCTTGACTAACAATAGGAAGTGAATTGATCGACTGCGTTGATCACTTCACTTACTTAGAAGTTGGATCCGCGCAGGTGAGTCAGTGACCGACAAAATCTCCGCACAGATACAAAAGATTTGCTTGCCTTCTACAACTGACGCCATTTGTGGTGCCGCCATGATATTCGATTGGAAACTAGGGTTCAAGTATACAGTGCAGTAGATCTCTCTGACCTAATCTACATGTGTGAAGGATGACTATTAAAAGTGAAGTATGCAGGAGACTGCAGGTGTTCTGTTACCGTTGCCTTTGTAACACTTTCTGCGTGTCATGGAACTACCAGTTGACTAATTTGGAGGTTAGACGTGGCGTGAAAGATGTAGGTCAGCTGATAAAACTGTAAACCTTCACCAACTGAAGTGGCCAAGAGAGGCGTTGAGTATGCTTAGTCATTTTCTACCCCGAACAACTATGCTAGCCGAAGTAAGGTTAGATTGAGAATGGCAAACGGTGGTGAAACTAAAAACTTGGCATTGTTTAGTGAATTCTCTAATTTGTATGGAGAAATATAGACTTAAGGTTCACAAGCCGACCAAAATTGATGATTGTCAACTCTAATGTATATAGCTCAAAATAGATTGGATTAGCACAGGTGGGTCCACATGCAATCTTTATACCGATCGTCATACCACGTTATGTCTTCTTGTTTTAAGTATCTTTCTTTCTTCCTACGTATTTCTACAAATTTTGACTACATTTTGAATCCCTATTTCTTTCACCTTGCTGCCCTGTATCCTCATGCGCTGAAATGAGGTGTGGGGACTTGGACGTTTAAGCACTACTGCCAGGTCTCATGTCGATAGTGAGTGGCTGATATGATGCTTTTCTCTAAAATCAGAGAATTTTAAAAAGGTAAAACTAGACAACTTAAGTGACTACGCCTGAAGTAAGTTTTAAAAAATCAGCCTCATCTTTGATTGAATTTGAATGCACTGAGTCTTAAGTTTGGGTTCATAACTTTGAACAAACAATGTAATATGTTCATACAACACAAAGTATGGAAGTTTACAGATAGCTATGAAAACGCAACACATTTTACCAACCATATCAAAACAAAGAATGCCCTGCATTACTTACCAAGTAATGGAATCCCGACGCCATCTGGACCTTCTGCAAAGTGTGGTGGTGCAGATGAAATACAGGACGAATGGTTCATGTCAGGAGTAGGTCCTATTGAATGACCTTCACGTAAATCAACCATTTCATAAAATGCACTCTTATTAAACAACGCTAAATTCCCTTCGAAGTCAAAGTCTTCGTCAATAAATTCCTCAACACGAATTCGATCCCAATCTACTGAATTTTTTTGATTACCGTTGCTGCCACTCACACACCCATTTATCCCAACATTTCCTCCACCACGGTGATTGTAATTCTGATGATTACGTGAGTGACCACGAGTCTGAGCATGACGATTAACATTGCCACCACCGGAACCTCCACCGAACTGACCACGTGTACCCGAGTTGGCATGACGATGGAATGAATCACTTTCAGTGCCCGAGACATCACTTGTTGTAGCAGCTGTTTCTGACACTTGGTTTACACAGTGAAGAAAAGAAAAATAATCGATGATAACAAAAATAGGAAATAAGCAGAAAAGTATATTGTGACAACATAATTACCGATTGTATTTGTTTGACAGATGGTCGTCGTTTGAGAGGCGTTAGTTCCCACCTTTCTACACAGCAAGGGAAGTAGAAACGAAAGTTCTGCATGTTTCTTGAGACAGAAATTCGCTGAAAGTCTATACTAGAAGCGTTTATCAACCTACTGCAGTAAGGTATAAGTAAGGCCGGAAGCGGTAAGACTAAAACATGGTATCAATGCGTGGAGTCCTTGATTGTTCATTTGAGCCATGTAACGCGATGCAAACTAGCCGGTTGGGGTCCGCCGGTCAAGAGAAATCAGTGGTTTCAGACTCTAGGTGATATAGCTCAGAACCGATGTCAGTGGCGCAGATGAATACAGACATTAGCCTCATCCCAACCGCTATACTCCTCACCTTCTCATCCTTCCTTCTTCTCTTTTAATACTTTCTACTTCCTCTGACCGATTTTTTCCTTCTTGATCTTCCATTTTATTGCCTTGTTAATTGATGTGCAGATATGAGATGTGGCAACTTGGACCGTTACGCAATAATGCCTTTTCTTATGTTGATCTTGATGATGATGAGGGTATAATTGCAAGCTGTACGAATGATCCAGAGGGGAAAGTGTACACTTGCAATGTGCATTCTAGATCAGTTCTAGAATCGCAAACTGTTACAGGTTGGAAGATAAAGAGTAAGTGGATTGATGCCATAGAGTTTGAGATATATCGTCATTACCATGTCTACTTTACAAATACCAGTTGGTTAAAGCACTACATATGAGAACGTTTTAAGTGAAGAATAGCAAGAGGTAATTTCAGTTGCGCAATAGTATGAACAGAGTACCACTAGAAAAGGACAGTTTTCATTTCAACTCAGCAACTCAACAACTTGCTTCCCATCAGAGTAAAAGGCTTTCAGTTGTATCACTTAACAAATCTAGATAACGAGCTATAAACTTTGTAGGAACTAATATGAACAAGTTGTAATAGGTTTCTTCAGACCACACAGGTATACGTATAAGTCGTAAGATGAAAAAAACAACCGATAAAAGGTAAAATCTAAATAACATTCAATAAAGGAAGCCGGAAGTTGTCAAGATGCACTAAGACGATAGGGTAGTGGAGCTACAAGTATGACTAAATCGCCCCCAGAATATTTTGTCCAAATTCGTTTTACCTTTGTTTGTCCAAACCATAAAAAGAAAAATCTCCCCAGCTATTCATGCTGAGTCCTTCCAAATATAGCTGAGGCATGGTTAGATCTAAAATGACCTATGCTTGATTGCAGCATAACGTGGTACCGATGCCTGAAGCCTCTGACCGTAGGTCTGAACTGTGGGGACTGTGTCGAGGTACGGATGAAAATTAAACTGATTGTGAGAGACTTTAAGTGGTATGGTCCATAATCAGTCGGAGTAGTACAGATACGTAAACATCCTGTCTTCGTTCTAATTGCTATATCAGATTTCGTAGTTTTCTTCCATCCCTTTTTATCTCACCTAGAAGTTTCCTATGACTTTAGATTATACGATTTCTATTTGTGTCTTAAATACTGTTGTCTTGCACCTTAATGTCCTGATGGGAGGTGTGGCAACCTGGACTGTTGTGCAGTGATAACAGGTTAAATTGGTGGTCTGTCTATCTGGCAGACAATGCTTGTGTGAGCCACAACTAATATGTGAGACGTGACGATTTAACCCAGTTTCTGAAAATGCAATCGCAGAGAGGAAGATCTGAGACTAAAATAAGCACACTACAAGCGATTACTACATTCATTTTAGGTGATCTTTTATCAAGAACTTATCGATTTTTTTTGTAGTACTCCCACAATATTCCTGTCGATCAGCTGCTAGTTGGAGTTTTATTTTTGATAGTATCATTTATCATCCAGGTGTAATTGTGTTTATTAAATTCCATCCCCTTCTTCCGAAATGGCGGAGTAAAATGGCCAAATTCCTTGAACAACTGTAAGTCTGCGATTCACATGTTTACATGGATGAATCATCGCTAATCACTACAAGGAAAGTTTACTGTTAATCGGGTACTGGGAGACCAAGGTAGGGACTAATCGGTTGTCTAGTTGGGGTAGCACAAGTTAGAACTATATGCAAAGTTAGCGATAAGTGAAGGCAAAATTATTTGAAACCCCAACAGATGGGAATGGAGGTGAAGCCAATGATCCACTTTATAAGAGTCCAGTGATTCTTATGCTACAATTTTCAACTTTTAAGCTATTCTAGTTTTGTATTTTGGTTAATCTAGAAAAAAGGCTTTTCAGTGGTCACAAAAGTTTTGATTTGCCAGTGTTTGCTGCTTGAAAGTTATTTTCAAACTTCTACCAAAAGCTCATGTGTAAATGATCTTAAGCGGATATTCTTTAGGCTCTATGGTTACGCAAAACTAGCCTATTTTCTCTTCTAGTCACTTTAAGAAATCAACCCTACGTGGGAAACTTAGAGGTATCAATTACTTATACGCCATTAGCAGTAAATAAAAACTCTATTTCTTTCTTTTCTTTATTTTGTCTTAACTGGCATCCTATTTTTGTCAACACTTATTTGTCAAAATTACTAACGAATTGAACCCGCAAAGTGCCAACCCGTCTCCTGAAACTGTGACCCAAACTGCATAGTACCCTCGCTGGTTGTGTCACGTTAAATAAGACAAGAGGGCCTGTTGACCAGAAACTGTGGTAATCTATGTATGCTTTTCCCGACACACAAATACATTACCCAAGTATGGTTATTTATTTGACCTTATTTCGGCAGTGTCTCGTAAGATTTACGCTTTTCGTATCGAAAGTTCCAAATGTCAGTTTTTGAAGCTTTGTATGTGTTAGCATAGTGCTCAGTTACCTGGTATGAACACGTATTTTTTTCACTAGATCTCCGATGAAGTCATTTGCGTATTGTTTGAAATTATGCTTTCTACATGACTTGTATTTATACAGGCAACAAGTAAATTATGGCGTGTTGTTTAGGTATTTGACTTTTAAACATTGGGTTAAACTCACTTCTGTTCAGATAGTCGGGTAAAGTTGTTCAGTCTCTCAAGACACATCAAATTGTGTGCTACTAGTCAACTCGAAACGGATTAGGCCACAAGTGGCTGTAACATGCAACTAAGGAGTTGATACCTTATTATTAAGGTCTGTAGAAAAAAATTATTTAGGCAGTAGGTAGGCAAAGAAACGGGGTGTTGTAATAATGAATGGTACTACTTAAGTTTTGATTTTTTTCCCCTGAATTCTTCTGACAACTATAAAATTCAATGTTGAAGTGATCTCTTTAAAATACAGCGAATACATTTAAATAGTAAAATCAAAACAATACTCTAAAACAAAAGGAAATCAATTTTACTTACTGGAATAGCTACGACGTTTAGAGTGAGAACGTTTGTTCACTCCTGCATATTTGCGGGCAGGACTAAAGTCATTTGATTCACGAATGCAGACTTTTGCCAATGCACCATCCAACAGTTGCAAATCGTTTAGATTGGTTGTGTTCATATGTCCAGATCTATCGTTATTACCTGCATTACTACCGGAAACTGGTGCACCAGGTGTTTTGTGAATTATAGGGGGTGAGTCAGGGCATACATATACACTATAAGTATTGGGAATATTTCTTAGCCATTCTCGACGTTGTTCACGTGAAGAATTCGAAGATTTGTTTGCAGATTTGACCGGTGTATCACTACCAGATGATTCACCACCACTCGCAGTTGACAGAATACGAATATTTTGGATGAAACGACTCCTATTCACGTGAATTAAAGGATATTATTAGCATAGGATATAGAAAAAGCAATATTCAAATTAGAATTTGGTGATGTAACTTAGAGTACTTAAATGTATATTCGTGTACAAGGCTATGAGTCATAACCATTGTCTGTCAATGATACTGCCCGACTGCTCAAACCTTAGAGGAGGATTTGAACTTATAACCCACCTAAATTGAAACGCAATATGTAGATTTTGCACGTGTTAGAAGCACTAGAACTAAACACAAGCAATGATGAAGGACGACTTCCAAACAGAAAACTGAACCCACTTAATCTCTTAGCATCACAAAGGAGACTTCATGCACTTATAAAACTACCTAATTCGTGGAAGGAAATGTAGAATAAAACAACTACCTAGTTGGCAATAGGCTGATTTATAATTCCCTTAGGATAAATGTTACTACTAGGTTAGCTTAAGTACACAAGTGGGAATTCGAACGCGTTGCCATATGGCTCAACACTACACGTGTAAATTATTGAAGCTCAAGTAGCATCATTACTGGGCTGAACTTTAACGACTCACTGAATGATGAAAAAAGACAATTTATGACACAACATAATACTTTATTGAAACAACTTGTTGCGCTTTTTAATAGCTCAGATATAGAACTGGAAATACACTTTTACGTTTTGGAAAGATTATTAACAAGAATACTTACTAGATGATAAGCAGTATTGATTTTTTTTGATTACTTATACATGAAATATATTTTGTAAAATCCCAATGAAGTAGACAGATAAATTCCTGACGTTTCGTGACTTCGTGGAAATCGCTTCTTCAGAGAATAAAACCTGTAGAAGTTGATAGTTTTAGATAGTGAAAGGCGACGAATCAGATCACATTGTCTATACATGATGATAATATGAACGTCAATGTCATCGTTATGCTGATCAGGAAGCGTTCACAAATTGTCTTTGTTTATCAGTTAATTAGTCTGGAGGTCGTGATATGAAAATGTGCACGTGACTGGGTGTGAAAGTGTAGGAAAAATAAAATAAATTAAATAATATGGATGACAAATTCCGTTTATTTGTGTGCATGTACTTTTGATCAGATCATTGTATGTGATATGTTGTTTTTGGAAATACTGTCCAGGTTGGTTGGATAGTTAGGCCTTCCTTTCTGTTGAGTGCATTAGGAAATGCCTGGCATCGGCTATTCTTCTTTCTTTTTAGTTTGAAAATCCCTTTTGAATAATTTTAATATTTTCAATATCGATTTTATGATTGTGACAGATGGCATGAACTGCGATCGCCGACTTGATTTGTAAGTTCTCTAGTTGTATAGGATTATTTGGTGGTTGTTTTGTGTAGCATGAATGTTCTTTAGCCGTAATGAGGATTTCACGGGATGACTCTCCAATATAATAGGCATCGCAGGTAAAAGGAACTTTATCTTCTACGTGGACTAGCGCATTCCTGAGCGTTGTTGTCCACGAAGTCGCGAAACGTCAGAAAATTATTTTTCTACTTCATTGGGATTTTACAAAATATATTTCATTTATAATCCAATTACCCAATGCACAACTTATTCAATTCTATCAGGTCAAATTTTGATTCTGAATTTTACAAAAAGATATTATTCTACGCTGTAACCTTTTGCCTGTAGGCAGATATCTCGAACCGCATTATTAGTACCAACAAAATGATTTACTACTGACTATTCCGCCAATAGTAAAAGATTGCTGAAGATATCACGCACTTCTAGTTCATTGCTCTCGATTGACCTAACGGTAAATAAACTTGGTGTTTATCTGTCGTGTTTTAACCTCGACAGTGACTGATCGGAGAAGCAACCAATTCACGTTTATGATGACTATATCACATCAGTATATTCATACCACCTTAATATATTCTAACTGAAGAGCTCATTGCAATGCAGAGTAGATGCTAGTTAATTGTGAATACCGAACACCCGAATCGCACCACTGATATTTCATAAACCCACCGGAAACTTGACCTTGTCTAAAGTTTTTTACATAATCCCAACAATGTTGTGAATGTACTTACGGTGAATCATTCATTTAGCTTTTGTTTTCGGGATAGATCGTAACAAGAACTCTAGACCCAAATGCAAGCTACATACAGATGCGGGTCAACAGCCACGATATAATTATATCGTCTAGTAGCCCAAACGTCGGTAATCAGACCAGGGTTGTAACCCGTGACCTAGTGACTATAGTTTAGCTCTTCTTTTTTTTTATATCAGTAGGGTAAAAATTCATTGTTAGTAGGGCTAGGACAAGATGTTAGTATGGCTGTGGTTCAGAAGCTAGTGAAGGGTTGTAACCTGGTTGCTACACCTAAGACCGGGTCTGGAGCGCCGCGTTTTTCTGTTTTTTTATTCTTGAACTCTAATGATGTATCCAAATCTATACATCTTGGAATTTCAGAAACTTGGCTTTTCTGACTCGTCTGTGAGAAAAAACGATTTGTACCGTTTTTTGTATGACGAAACGATTCCCACCAGTTAAGGGAAACCATCGACTTTTTATACATCACTCGATATCTTAATCTAACTAGTAGGCCATGAAAATCATTCTTAAACACTTTTTTGAGCTCGAAATCCACGCTTTACTCAATTCAATTTCACTCAAAAACGTCAACAACAAAACTAATGTTTCATTAGGCTTGTGGTTGGATGACCGACAGCTAAGTCAACATTAACAGGAATGGAAAAAAGTGGATTGGAGAGTCTGAGGAATGATCAGAAGTGATTGTGCTTGAATAAATCCAAGGAGACCGAGAAATTAGCGATAACTAGCTTTGTTCATCAAATGGTTCAACTTAATTATGACATGGATTGATGGAAGTCAATTGTTAGTCAGACAAAGAGACAATTCATGCGACCGAGTCAGTGAAAAAGTCATAGTAGCTCAGCTGCTTTGTAGTTCAAACACAGCTTAAGTAGTGTAATACTAAAAACTCAGCTATTTAAGGTAAACGAAAATGAATCACAGCCAAACCTTAGATTCCAAAAAGTACGTTCAGTCATCTTGATAAATGATAACGTGAAACTGAAGGCCAAAAGGATATAGGATACGAGGCAATTTGGTGCAGTTCAGATGGAAAAAACACTGAGCAGAACAGACAGGCATAATGTTTAAACTATCCACAGTCAACAGCACGGTGGAGGGACACGAGCAAACCATTAAAATGGATCAAGAATACGGGTACAGGTGCACGATGAGCTGTCAAACAAGTGACATTAGATCTTCCAAAACTAGACGCAAGTTGTTTGGATTTGTAATGAAAGATACTTTTTTGTGACTCAAACCTGACTCAATAATCAGTCGGTTGTAGAAATAGTGGTAAAGACAGTTAGGAATATGCATCAAAACGCTATCAAAAGTTAGTGAATTTCCGCAACCTTGCCCGAACTGATTGCTGTAGGACTCATCCCAGCTGGCTCTGGTCAGGTTGAGGGACGAAAGCACCTTCGATGCAAGTTGATCAAGAGTCTTTCAAATGGCTGTGAGCAGTGGTGGTAGGTGAATACGAAAGAAATGGAGAATACATCCGTTCACTATAATATTCTGGAGTTAGTTAGGTTTATTACAGAGACTGGAGAGAAGACGATAGTTAGTTAGACCACTGCCAGAAAGTATGGGCTCAGGTAACTTCTAGGGACGACCGATTGGAATTTCCGACGGGATGCTTCAGAGGACAGTTCAAGTGGTCGATAGCCACACTTCTAATCGGACCTTAAATCGAACGTAGATGTTCATCCTCTCCCTCTTCGAAGTTAAGGTTGGTGTTCCCAACCTGAAACAATCTCAAACAACAGGACCTGACAGTTCACCGTCAAAGATTTTCATGGATGTAGCTGGAAGTTATCGACTGAAGTAACTGATGTGCTGTCGAAGTGTGATTTATCAGCTTAAGCATTTGAATTTAAGTAATGCATCCCGGGTTCAAATCCTAATTCACCTACTTTGGCATGGGCATGGGTACAACTTGGGCAGTATGGTAGTGTATAATTTCATAGATGGCTTATTTGATATTTCACACTGTGAAAGTGTCATTTACTGGACGACGTTCCCGACAGAATTTATTGTTCATATTCGTATTAAAGATAACTTCGCACTTCTAATATCCTGATTCGATAAAAATCAAACATATGTAATGGAAATGACTCAACACCTATTCCAGATATTTGAAAAATTCGACTACCCTTACGAAATATGAATGAAGGGAAATAGAGTTACAAAAACACAATGTGCAGTGTGGATTTACCTTTGATATTAATATGAACAATCAATCCTATCCAAAGCGTTATCTAGTAAATAACACTTCCACTATGTGAAATGTTAAATAAGGGATCTAATATAGAATTATGTACCAGGTTGAGTTGCACTATCATTAACTAAGGTACTAGCTAGTGTACAAGACTCAAAGGTAGTCGAATCAGGTAAGTGTAAATTGTTGGTCATTTCAGTTTGTGAAAAGAGAAGAAAGGACAGTAAGTCAATGCTTACTACTTAGAGGATACCTGGCTGACTTACAGTAAGCGCCCAACCGATGAATGGTACCTTGACGTGGTGGTTGGCCTGCATACCACAATGACCCAATGAGCTATGCTGGTGGAGCGCATGTTCCCTCAAGGTTCTAGCATCAATTACCGTCACAGTGTAAGCCGCTAAGCATTCATGTGGGTCCAAGGGCGAAGTAGTACCCCTGGCTGGACGGGGATGTAACAGTAATAAGAGGCTTCTCACGAATGACCAGCCGATGCTGCCTTCCCTATGGGAAACAAGGGTTAGAAAAGTTGAACCCTAAAAATATCACACTCCCCCAAACCCCGCGGTATATAGCTGCGGTGATACGGGTTCATAGGAAGATTTGCAAAAAACCGAAGCTATCAACCTTCTAAATCGAATCGGATTAAAATGCACTTAGCAACCTTTGTGCATACTCGTGCAGTAGGGAATGAGCCACACCTATTGTGTGAGGGTTAATGATGCTACTACCTGGA